ACGGGGCAGTGATGATAGTAGATAAAGAACACCAAATTTGTAATATTGCAACTTGATCGTATTTGTATCAAATAGTTACAAAAACACAGCACAGAGGTCACCACAGGAACCTCTAAATTCTACACACTTACAGCAATTGACAATGTGGTTAATACTCTGCTAAAATAGAAATGATGAGATTTACTTACAGATCCATTGTAATACACATGGTGAAAAAAAAAAGGCAGTCTTCTCACATCTGTTAATTCACTAATGACCAGCCTCCATGACTGAAATGGAATTAGTCAAGCTAATAAATTCAAGACCATGGCACAGGAAGGAATTATTAACATAGGCAGCGCAGAGACTTCTTTAACCTAATGGAGACTTTCTTCCCCCTTTATAAATGCCATACCACACATTTTCTTAGACTAAAAAGGCATTTATTGCAACAGTTTTATAAATATCATTGTCTGTCACTGTCAAATAGCTAACAAGGCTCACTTGAACACCAACATTTAGTATAAAACAGATGTTACAAAGCAACGCTTTAGGGCATGCACTGATTGTAAAGTAGTCCCATAGGTCACTGTAATTTCATTATCTATTCATTCAGTGTTATTTTTACTGAAAAGACTAGAGCACAAAGAAGTTTGGCAAATTCTTCTGGACTACAAAACCTCCATTCTGCACTCCTATCCAACCAAATGCTTATTGACTTCACGTGACTGCTGGGCATTGGCATACAGAATGAAGCCTGGCATAGAGAATGCAGAACACCACTTAACACTATAGTTACAAATTTCTTATTTGTATGTTTCTCTGTATATTAGTCTTGACAAAGAACTGAATGAATTTAAAAGGTAGAGGTGGCATTTCAGGTTCAACCGGTACACATAATGTAATAAGAAACAAGTGGCAAGAGTTCACACAGTTATGACAGCCTGCTTAGTTGCAAAGAGGTTAAAGCAAACCAGACCTCAGGATATATAAATCAGAAATACCAAGATATATCAGGCATCAGTTATAACCTAAACAGAACTCAACATGCTAATAAAATATATCTGCCTAAATAAAGGCTGGGAACATCACACACAAATGTCAAGGCCCCACTATTTCATTTTTGTAATGAGTTAATAGGTTTGAAATTTCATCTTTGAATCTCTTTGTCAAGACTTGAATGATAATTCCAGCTTAAAAATTTTTATTGTGGTAGTTTTTTATATTTCAATATTTATCATTCGTTTCATATCACCAAAGGTAAAAAACTGAACCCATTGCTTTCTATGTGAGAAGTCAAGTATTTCAGAAGCAGACACCTTATTCTGGAGTTAAATAACAAGATTTTTTTTCCTCCTAGGTTTAACTGTGGCATCTGTGCTTCCTTTCCTATCACTCTAATACTCTATATGACAACATTCCTTTGACTTATTGAACTTATTCTTGTTTCAGCTTGTATGCAAAAAAAAAAAAAGGTGAAAATAACACTGTAATATGTCTAAGACTGTGAGGCTAATTTTTGTATTGAAGAAAGCATGTGTGTGTATAAGAACTGAAAACATAAACATCACACACATAATATCTCAGGTTTATATATTTTCTTCCTCAATCATTCTGTCTCCCCAAAATCACCTAGAAGTCAGGGAACATGTAAGGCTCTGTGTTTTGTCTTGTCTCTAAAGCAGAATTTAGCCATTTGTTTTTAGACTATTTTGTATAATCTTGTATAATCCTCAGACTTTACATGCACACACAAATACCTTCAGGTAAATCACACTGCCTAAATATTAATTCTGTGAAGAATACTTTTCACTATCTAAACCTTACAGATCACTGTTGTGAAAAATCAGCAGGAATATTTTTATTCCTTGGCACAAAACCTAAGTGAATTTTCCATTTATTTAGTCTTCTACCAATACTACCATAGGAAATTAAACTGAATGACATCAAAACTAAGAGAGAGATATGAAGCTAAATCACGAGTTACCATAAAATGTTCGCTTCCCTGAGTAAGCACTGGAGCCATAACAGATTTGCAGCTGCTCAGCACTTCTGAAAAATCCAATTACTTCTTCAAAAATGTAAATATGAATTTAAGAATCAATTAGAAACAGCTCAGAAAAGTACTGGTAATTTTGTAATGCTCTAGTCTATAAAGAGTAAAACACCTTTACAGAAAATGTCTTAAGAATGCCACATGAAAGTTCATCTTGTAAGGACATTCCTAATTACCCTTTAATTGCAGATCAGAATGAGCCTATGTGGAGCAGCAGCTGTTCTAAGATACAGGATGTGAAGTCCTGCACTTATTCCAACTTCACATTGGTTTGGAAGAACATTCCTACTTGGCTAAGAAACACAGAAAGAGGGCAAAAGCAACAGTTGTGAATGACTGTGGAACCGTGTCAGGGGAAGTTCAGATGGGACCTTAGGAAAAGATTCTTCTCTAAGAGGGTATCCAGTCACTGGAACAGGCTCTACAGGGAAGTTCAAGGAGCATCTGGATGATGCTCTGAGTCATATGGGTTAGTTTTAGGCAGTCCTGTAAGGAGCATGGTGTTTGTTGGGCTCTAAGATCCATATGGATCCCTTCCAACCTGAGACAGTCTATGAGTTCTAGTCAAAATACTCAGTAATCCAAGGGGAAAAAAAAAATCTGTCCCTTTCTTTCCCAGCAGATTTATTGCTATTGCCAAGTCATAACACAGATTTTCATAGCAAGTAATGTCTTTTAAGTCTGCATTTTCACACCTATCAAATCCATAAGCTGCACACATCCTCTCTGACATTTTAAAATTGCACTGCTTTTGCCTTGCTATCTGAGCCCAAATTAGGTAAGTTAAGTAACCGTGTTTAAGCATAGATAATTTTATCAAACCTACGAAATAGAAAAAAAAAGTTACCAAAGTGATTACTTCATATTAATAAAAAATGTTTAGAAAAGGAAGGCTTACCTAGATCTTACTAGTATTTGCAAAAATCAAGATACCTCAACATACAAACTGCATAGAAATAACTAGATAAGAAAATAAAAAGAGTAAAAAGCTGGAACATGGTTTAAAAAATTATTTTCTTTTTTATTAATTTTTGTACACAAGGACTTGACATTTTCTTTAAAATCTTCCTGTTAGATCCATCTTTATCCTGGGCAGGTTGAGGGAGAGCTGCCCAAAGAGACTACTACAGAAATAATGAAAATGAAATTTTCATTAGAGGAGCTAATGTACAAAGCTGTTAATATTTAGAGCCCCCATCCTTTGATACTCAGACTGGCCAGTGAGCAGGTACTCCCTGCTGGCTGCATTCTACAAACTGAGCAGGTACTCCCTGCTGCAGCTGACTGCTGCTATTGCCTCTGGGGTCTTGTTGGGTTTTTGTACCTCTGAGGGCCAGATCAAGCCTCCAGCTCTTAAACTGGTGCTTGACAGCAGAGGACATCTTGTGGCATGGTCTGACCTGATGGCCACATCAGCCCTTAAACAGCTGGGACCTGCCTGAAAGCCAAAATCTCTTTCAAGTCAGACTCTACTCCTTCCTAACCATACGTCAAGTAATATTTGCTTGGATAAAGAGTGCCAGACAGGCACTGCCACATGTAAATTTATACAAAAATAGAAAGTATGCCAAAACCATTCCATTCCCTTCCTTGTCATTTGTCCTTACTACCAGTCTCTCCATTCTTCTGTTCCAAACTGGAGTCACCAAAGCCTCACTGTGCAGCATTCAAGCAAACTGCTTTGCCAGTTTCATTATATGGGGTTGAAAAGGATCACATCAATTTATGTAAGCTGTGCACATCCACAGCTCCATGAAGCACTGAAACACTGTAATATTTTAAAGTATTTCTGATCCTGTCATAAATCTAAGGCTCTATGCAAAGTCATCTTTTGTATAAAACACTAAGATAATAGTTACTTCTGAAAAGAACTGGTATTAGACCTTATGTAGTTCTCTGAAATACATCTTTTCTTCTTGTTATGTCTTTTACCAAATACTTTACTTTGGGGAAATTATTTGAAGATGTTAAAACAAGAAGAGGGTGGGGGGAAGTACACCTGCTATGCTAACCAATGAAACCACAGAGTCACAAAATGCCATTTAAATGCTATTAAAATTACATAATTTGCATATAAACTTTAATTCTGCCTCTGGAGTACTGGAGGGCACAAACTTCCAATAGACCAAAAAAAGACATGAAAGGCCAGACAGAGGGTCTACCCTCTAAAATAGGAAAAATTTTCTTTTTTGTAAATGTCTCCTGCCTTGGAGGAGAAAGTAAGGAGAAGACAAAAAAAAAAGAAGAAAAAAAAGACCACTTCTGTCTTCCCTTGAATTTACAGCAGTTACATTAGTTATAGCAGTAACTAAGAAATAACTGTGTAGCTATTCAGTACATACAGGCAGTTGCAGGGCTCTTTTTTCAGGACATGGTGCCCCAAGCAAGCTTCAAGACCACTGCCTGGGTGCCGTGCTGAGGTACACCACACCCCAGTCATTCTCTAATCCCTGTGCTGAAGATTGGGAAAGCTGTGCCAAACACAGCTGTTTTCCCTTGAATTTACAGCAGTTACATTAGTTATAGCAGTAACTAAGAAATAACTGTGTAGCTATTCAGTACATACAGGCAGTTGCAGGGCTCTTTTTTCAGGACATGGTGCCCCAAGCAAGCTTCAAGACCACTGCCTGGGTGCCGTGCTGAGGTACACCACACCCCAGTCATTCTCTAATCCCTGTGCTGAAGATTGGGAAAGCTGTGCCAAACACAGCTTTAACATCATTTAACCCAAACTGGGGTTTATTCAGATTAGGGAGGCTGCAAGTGTTTATTTTATTATCCAAGTAGTGCAAAACCCATCAAGACAAAGAAGGCTGCAGAGGGAGTCCAAACTTTTCTCATCAATATGTTCCCTTCCAAAAACAGAATACTTCCCTTGTAATAATAGAAGGCAGCATCACCCATTACCCAATGACATTATCAAATCAGTTAGGTGTTTTGGTTTTTGTTTGGGTTTTTTTTTTTGTTTTTTTTTGAGGGGGGAAAATCAATTAGCATCTCACCTATACCTAAAAAACACCAGTTATTTGATACCAGCAATGAAAAAAAATTATGCAAAAAAAATCTTTCTAATTAGTAACTACAGTCAAATTTCCAAACAACACCATACTTTAAATATGCCCTCTCTAAACTCAATGCCTTTGTATGAAGTCACTCTACAGCAAGAAATTCCTAAAATTAAAGCACTTCAGAAATGTGTTCTTTAATAGTTGTTCGGTAGTAATCACACTAAAGAAACAAAAAATTATTTGGAGAGGGAAATATCTGCCTCCTTATCCAAAGCGCACCTTTTATTCTCGTTTGTGTTAGTACCAATTAACTAGAAAAAATAATAAAACAAAAAATCTTTGAAATGCCACAATCAATTAAAAATTACTTTGAAGTCTGTTACTTTATAGTCACTTTGTGTAACAGAGATAAAGCCTGCTTTTCAATATTAAAAAGAAAAACAAGAAGACAACATGTGAAAACGAAAATAGCCTCCATGACAAGTTACTGTGCCCACTCAAATGTTAAGACTTACCAAATATCATACAAACTTACATACCACATTTCCCTTATAACCTTTTTCTCCTCAGATTCCATCCTGACTACCAACTTCTAGATACTCATACCTCATTGTATGTCAACTTGAATTCCACAGTCCTGATTTTCCCACTGTGAAGAGGAACTCTTACATAAACTCAGTGATAAACTCAATCATCCATTTAAACGCCAGATAATAAATTGTTTTGCTGCTTCCTGTGGCCTTTTATTTCCTCCCTTTTGATTAGAACATTTTATTAGGCTAATTAAACACTGTGAAGCTTAGGTGAAAGATTTTTCAGAAGTGCACATTTCTGCTAATACTTCAACAAGAGAAAAATATGATGACAAAAACACAGCACACTGACAAGTAATCGGAAAAAGTAATAAAAAATAATGTAAAATACTTTGCCCTTGCTTCAGATCCTGAACTTTAACCACATCTGACTCTATATATGTAGAAAGCAGATTGACAGCTGTCACACAATTTTACCTTGGTATTATTATTGTCATCTATAACATACCTGAATGCTCAGGTCCAACCAGGCTATCCTAAATCCCGAGCTCTATTAAAGAAGAAAAGAGAAGCCAAAATGGGTTTCTATCCAAGTTCAGTACCTTTAAATTATTAAATTAGCCCTTTAGTGGGTAATCAAGTAAATGGCTGAAACAGTAAAAACCAAGCCATAAACTAAAGCAACCCTCAGGCTCTGAGAAAGAGCTGCAATATCTCAGCTGCCTGAGAGAAAGAATTTACCGTAATGATTTCTTCACTTCACCTGTTTGCTGAATGTAAAGCTCATTATCCAGGCTTCTGCTTATCTGCTCCAGCCAATCTTAAGGCTAAATTACACAGCTGTTGTGGGCCAAAGCAGACCTTATTAGGTGGTCTCTACTTGATCAGATGATGAGTAAGTTAACCAACCTGAGAGAAGTAATTTATACTAAATAAAGCTACTGTATGCACTTTAGAAGTTCACTTCTGAATTTATCTTCCCTTTCCTGAACTCTAGTCCAGTAATTTTAAGTGAACAAATGCTTTAAGACATCAATGAAAAGATAAAATATTAGTCAATCTTTTGAAAGAGGGATAAAGTGTTTGTTATGAAGATAAGTTCATCTTCAATCTAATTCATATACCTTAAATATAAGTTTGAAGAATTCTGAGCCTAAAAAAACTAAGCTCTACAGACATCAATCTGTGAATAATGATGCAAACCTATCCAAGCTAATTCATCATTTTATACTCCATGCAGCAATGAGAATAGAAAGGAGTTGCATTACATATACTTTACCAGATTCTGTGTTAGAGAGTCCTCAAGTGTATCACATTAGATAAAACTTTGGCACTACTTAGATTTTAATTCTACCCAAGTAGAATTTTAGTGTAAGTTGAAAATTGAATGAGTAACCTTACCCAAGCACATTTGACTGCTACATGTAAACGTGTCATACACTTCCTATTATGTACAGCACAGAAATTCTTCACTCCAAGTTTTTATTATAGTCTGTGGCTCATAAATGCATTTTGACACTTTTTGTCTCTGTAATATTTAGCATTCCTCTTGCATTAATTATTGGTGATAAAAACAGCTAATGTATTTCCTTTTTAGCTCATCTTTTTTCCACAATATCTATATTTTAGTAGTGGTTTGATGAACAAAAGATACTGCTGTTCTTATTAATCCCTGTCTTTCCTTAAGAGTAATCTCATTTATATTTCTTTGTAAGATTACACCAGCTGCCCACAGTCACCCTTTATATGAACAGGATTTAGTGGCATACAACACATAAAAAGAGATTACTTCATACTGCTGCACAATTACTTAAAAATATATTTACATGTCAGCAAAATTGCTTTTTTTCATAAAAAGAGAGAAGTTGATTTAATCTATTAGGAGGACATCCTATGGCTTGTTGGGAACTTTTATATTCTGCATGTTTTACACCTGGTTTTCCTATGTATGGAGAATTTATATTGCTGTATTCTCCCTCCCCCTTGTTTAAATTACTTTATATCTCACTCTTAAAAGAAGTAGGCATTTCTTTCAAAAAGGCTATTGAAACACAATAAAAACATTCATCACCTATTTCTGTTGAAAAAAAAAAAATCATGCTAATGCTTGAATATGCAAGTTTAGTTTTGGAAAATACTACAAGAAGTACACTTTGATAAATATTAAAAAAAAAAAAGAAATTGGGAGAACTATCCACTACTGAAGGGCAACTACTGCTGTGTTGGTTTCCAGGTCATAAGATTAGAAACTGCACTTGGAGTTCTGCTCTCTGCTCTAGAAGTACCAAACAGCATTGCAGTGTTTTCCCTAATTTGCTTTTTTTTAGCAATTTGGAAGGCAATTTTGTTATTTGATAAGATGTCCATCACTAAATTCACCTAAACAGACATACAGGCACCCCTCCCAAACACACAAACACACACATACACACATTGATTTTACAAAAGTCTCATTTTCCTTAAGCAAGTAATCACAACACTGAAAATATTCTCCTACGTGTTCACTGATTTTCTTAAATTATTTGTCACCACTCTGCCACTCAAGGGAGATGGTTATTTCACTCTTCTGAGAAGCTAACTATGTTCAAAAGCAGCTAGATGAGGATGGTGATGTGATATAAATTCCAAAAGAAAAATGCATTGTCCATCCATATAGCCGTCCATCCTGAGAAACTTCCACTGCCAAATTCTTGCTGTTTTCCATTGGTCATGGGGTTCCCATCAATAAATAGAAGGTCAGTGCAACAATGAGGAGCAAGCAGAATGGAGAAGAGAAGGTCTGATAGGCAGCTGAAGGCATGAAAATATCTTCGTACTTGTAAATACTGACAACACGCTCTGACACGGGTGGAGAGTCGATATCATGACGAGTTATAGAACCTTTAGCAGGTAAGGGCAGAAAGAAATAACTTCAGATGCAATTTTTTCTATAACTCTGCTGAAGAAACAGACAGGTAATTTTCAAACCTATGGAAGCATGCAATATTACACTGTCAGGGAGTAGGCTCATTTCTTTGCTTTCTGAAATTAAATTTCTAAATAAAACAAATAAAATTCAAGTAAACAACAAACGCACTTCAAATGAATTAAGAACTTCTAGTTATGAAGTTCTTCTGAATTCAGCTTTAAGAAGTGAGGATAGTAGATATACAGCCAGGAAAACAAGACACGTCCTGTCTTTCTTTTTTTAAGCCTCATGCTGCCAGAACTTTAGTTCATTAAAAAAAAAGCGGGGGGAAGAGGGTGTGTCTAATGAGAATTACATCACTGAAAGACATTTATCAATTTTGGCACATCAGCTCTGTTGGTGAGATCAACTTACCCTGGATTGCTGGGCCCCAAGCAAACAGGTAGTACCAACTCAAGTGCAAATCTACGATGGTTTCTTCTCGGGGAACATAGACAGGACGCTTGAATCGACACGTGACACGATTGTTTTCAAAAACCCCTTCCTCATCTCTAGCAGGATTTCTCTGGATTTCTTTAGCCCACTGACCAACATTATAGAAGTGCTGTATTCGGACTCTTCCATTATCATCATGAACACAAGCCATGACATCATCTCCCCCCTACAAGGTTAAAAAAAATTCAAAGATGGAAAACAAAAGGGTCATAAAACACTTCCTCATTTATGTATATAATTTTAATTATTCAAAGCTAATAAAGACCCTTTCCTTCTTTCCAAGTTATATACACAAATATTTGTATCCCTAATCAGGTATCTTCAGTAAGACTGAAAACCACGTTAAGTGAGTAGCAATAGTTACATGCCCTTACTATCTCTGAATTCTCTTTCAGATCTTTCTGAGAGTTATTTTACTTAATGTATATTTGTAGGATATGATATCACTCTGACATCACATAATTAGTTGATCTGTGGCAGGCTGTTTTATTTTGTTATTTGTGAAGTTCTGGCATACTGCTTCATAAAATGTTGCAATCTTGAATCCCTGATATGTACAAAATCCACTGCATCAAATCATGGGCATGGGATGCTCTTTCCTTCTTTCCAAGTTATATATACGCAAATATTTGTATCCCTAATCAGGTATCTTCAGTAAGACTGAAAACCACGTTAAGTGAGTAGCAATAGTTACATGCCCTTACTATCTCTGAATTCTCTTTCAGATCTTTCTGAGAGTTATTTTACTTAATGTATATTTGTAGGATACGATATCACTCTGACATCACATAATTAGTTGATCTGTGGCAGGCTGTTTTCTTTTGTTATTCGTGAAGTTCTGGCATACTGCTTCATAAAATGTTGCAATCTTGAATCCCTGATATGTACAAAATCCACTGCATCAAATCATGGGCAGAAAACCAATATACTTTAGTGAGACAGAGGAAACAAAACTACTACATATGAGAATATAATAGCATTGATTACAGTAAGTCTTTTCTAATCTCTTCTCATGTTCACTTAAGGAACATAATTTCTCTTATCTCTTATTTCTTATAAGAAGTGTTGTAATAACAGAATGCAGTATACCACAAGATACAAAGAAAAAAGTAATCAATATGTGCTTCTTCACTTAGCATAAGCAGCCAGCAAAGAACCAAGAGACAGAAAGAAGAAGGAGCCACTTATTTGTAAAGGTGATTCATTGAAATACTAAAGCATTAATGGAATAGGTACTCAAGGTGAGTGACAGAGTGGTAGAGCACAGGGATGAGCATGAACTTAGGAGTACTATCTCACAGAAGCCTTGGCACCAAGAGCCACTAGAACACTATCCAAGCTGGATGAGTGCCACAGCTATCAGTGCTGTATCAAACACAGGCCCTACTCCTCCCATATCCTTCTGATATGTCATACTGATAAAAGACATGATGCTCGCTCGCTCGCTAGATCATCCCTTAGTTCTTTATTACAGGGAAAAGAGAGGAAAAGGGTGTATTGCAGCACTGTGGGAATATTGTAAAAGATGTGCCAGAAGTGGGTGGAAAGAGGGGACAGCTAGGTAAAACAAATGCTTGGACAGTTTCTGCACCTTGGTGCTGCGGCAGACCTTTCCAGCCTCTGTCTTGAGACTATCACTGCTCTCCATAACTTATTTCCCAAGATTAACTTTTATACATCTAAGCACAAATCCCTCATTCTTAAGTACAAAGAGGCAAAAATAAAGGTGTTTTTACACTGAGGAAAGAAAATTAAAAAGGAAAGAAAAAAAACATTTTGAATCTCAGTTAACAGAATGACATTTCAAAATCCTGCCAAGGCACAAAAGCCTGTAAGTGGAAAAGCATAATGTTATTTGAGACAAAGAAATAGGTCATAGGACTTTAAAAAAATCTATTGAGGACACAAAATAGTTTTTTTTCTCTTAACTTCTGAAGCTATCCAGGCCACACCATTTTGATTAGGGCCTCCAAAGCACAGCCCATTTCTCAGAGCTAAGGTGTTTTGACCCAGAGCCTTTTTTCATCAAAGTCTGTGCATCCCAGGACACCAAAACATCCTGGAAGTTATGAAAAAGATGAAGTCAGCAGGAGAGCCAGAGAGAAAGAGAGATGCTAGCTGGTTTAGCCCAGCTGACTTATGGGCATTACAGGATATGTGGAGCAAATTTGGAAGCAAAACCTTTTACTTTACAGTTCCTTTATTCTTTTTACAAGAAGCTCAGACTTAACCTGCTGCTTGCTGTGCCTGCTTTCCAAGTGGCTGATGAGAGGAAGGCAGGGGGACCCTGGAGTCCACTGCAGGTACCTCAGAGGTACAAACTGGTAACACAATCTGATAGTTTGGGGACAAATACTTAGAGGTGCTGAGCTGCTTTGAAAACCCTGTTGAGTACCTGCATTGACAAGCTTCTAAACTCTTCCCAAAATTTGTCTGTAAAGCTGTTCTTGACATCAAAACCACAAACTGTTTCTTGTGACATGAACTGTTCCTTATGACACAAAAACCTTCTATCATCTTGTGTTTGTTTACAGTTATTATTTATTAAAACATATGTAGTAATGACTGAGAAGCACTTGTCCTCACATTTTCTTTCTATTTCTCATTTTGGGTCAAATGATGCCTTAAGTTTTAGCTTTCATATTTTTCAGATTCTGTACTGCATTAGTATATAACTCTGAACTTCATATAAAGCATTAGCAATTTCTCTTCACAGTTTAGTTGGACAAAACAATCCTTTTCCAACCTGAGAACCAAGGACATTGTTGTAGCTTCAGGTCCAAAAAGTGTAAACACTTTTTTTACTGGACATAGGTCCAGTATTGTTCTATATACTCAGGAGAGTTTCTGTACATGAACACTGATATTATGAACTGCATTTTAATCCTAAACATTTTACCAAGGATCACAGACAAAACATCTTTGCATAAGTCATCTATTGCCCACATTTTTTAAAGTCCACACATTACATGCTTCTGTTTTGCTCATTGAAATTCAGTGAAAAGTGGAGCTTTTGAATTAAAAAGTAAGTACAAGAATAAGCATAAAACAGAGCCCAATAACAATCTAGAGGAGAGAGAATAAATTTTAAGAAGACTGCCTTTTTGAGTATAAATGCTTAAATTAGCAGGAGTCGTTTTCTCACACATTTGTGGCTTCGCTGGAACAACACATGGGTATGAAAGAAACCAAAAAATTTCCAAAGTTAAACAAAAGTGAAATAAAAATTTATACTGCTGAAAGTCAACTGATTTTCTCAAGAATAAAATCATTTGCTATTCAGTTTATGATGTGTCTTTTGCCCAAATTACACTGACATAAAGCGCAACAGGACATTTCCATGTGAATTGGCTCATCCCTGAGGGCTTTTCTAATGAAAAGGCAAAAAGCTAGTGACATTCAAACATTCAGAGCTGGACTGAAATACTGTTGTAGTTCTCAGAGAAGAAGGGAAAGGAGATGTTAGGAAGGATGAAACAGTTTTCTGTGAGGCAGTGCTCCCAGGGGGGCTACTGAATGGTACTTTGTTTTCAGCAAGCCAGTTTTACCTTGCATGCTCTGTTTCACAAATATAGAAATGTACATAAACCATTTATATCCTAGGATATAAAAGGAAAGTGTATGAAAGTATATGTATTGCCAACACGAAAAACTGTACATATCTTACCATTTTCTTGTCTGAGGAAAATCCCACTGCTACCCAGCCATCTGTGTCAGCACTCAACTCAAATGAAATGTACATAAACCATTTATATCCTAGCATGTGAAAGTGTATGTATTGCCAACACGAAAAAATGTACATATCTTACCATTTTCTTGTCTGAGGAAAATCCCACTGCCACCCAGCCATCTGTGTCAGCACTCAACTCAAATTCAACATCAGCTCCAATTCTGCGGTAACTCAGAAAGTAGTCACAAGTCTCTGCATTGCACCCAGGTTTACCATACCTAAATGGAATTGGAAAGATACATAACATTTTCCCTGAAATTTTCTGCTATGGAACTTAATTAAGGTTTTGCAAGAAAAAGCTAAAAGAATGTATCTTGGTATAATGGCAGTAAAGCATATATTCTGCTGGACATAAAGTAGCATTAATTTTTTGCAAGTACTACTCTTTTAAGGTATAGTATTCAAACAATAACACAAAATATTACTGTTGACCTTCCTTGCTGGTTTGTTGTTTTTTTGTTTTTTTTTTAGTGCTTCATGAAAATACAAGAAAAAACTGTAGGACCACAACTATGACGTGTATTCTTAAATAAACTAATGTCCTGAAATAATACAGCAGTATGGTCTTAAATAACAAACATTTATTAAAATTACTATGAAACACTAACCAGAGTTCCCAATACCATCAGTCAGCACCTGTAAACATAAAGGTATCTGCACTCTTATTTCAGACTGACCTGAAGCATCCCTTGGTTTTCCCACAGTCATCCACTCTGATTTTTGCAAATGGGTCCACAGGAGGAGCAGTAGGGAAAGGGTAACCTGTATAATCAGAATAAACCATTACTAAATAAGATACAAGGACTAAAAATCAGTAATACTAAAGAGAAGGTCTTCCAGTAGCATTTACTTTGCTGATAACTGAACTGTTCAGATGCGTGACTACTTTGCCACATACAAAACCCACTGCTCAGATGGTCCTGGATCCAGGTAACAAAGTAACATGAATAACTGAAAAGAAAACTTTTCTAAGGTTTCCTACATTCATCAAGGAGAGAGAAGAATGCTGGAGGGCAAAAGTTAAATGTAAGGCAGCAGGATCATGGACTACTGCAGTCAACTAACAATTAGGGATCTCTGCTCATCTCTCTCCTTGTGCACTCATAGTCCCCTCAGGAAATCTGTACAGGAACTGACTCCTTAGCCATAAGTGACAACATTAGGTATAAATACAGGCAGGGCACCAGATGCAGGGCTGTAGGAATTGATGCTGAAAAGACCACATTATACATCCTCCTTTATGAAGTAAAATAAAACACACATTGCAGTAAAAGGTAAGAGAGTATCAGGGCAGGGAATTGCCTGCAGTTATGGCCTGCAATCACTTGTGAAGGCAGACCCAGAAGAGTCAGACAGTGGGAATTATGGTTCCAAGCAATCCCATCTGCTGGACTATAGTACCAAGGAAAAAATGAGAAAGTTTACTAGCAGACCTATTTAGTCTTGGCTTGTCGGTGCTGGTATCTGTTGCGTAAGCACAGATATTTTAATAGGATGTTCTTTTACTTAGCCAGATAAAAACCAAAGTGCTAGCTGTGGAACTAGAAAGTCCTCTGAAAATGCTTCATTGAGTAGGAAAAGTAATTGAAAGACATTTATCAAGAAAAGTGTTTCACTGAGTGGGAAATGAACATTTCAGTTAGTTACAGCACCAGCACACAAACTTTTGACCTACACTACTTTGGGCATTCGGGAGCCCTGATTTACTTCCCTAGATTTCTAACAATGTTAATGGAGAAAGTATGCTGTAAGCTGCAAATCACAGTTACACCAACTGTATCAAGGGCAGGTAAATTACCCGGCATAAATAAGTTTGCAGGATTTCACAGCAGCGTGTAGCAGCGTATTGCTGAAACACAGGCCATGGAGTTTTCTCACTCCTTACTTATTTTCAAATCCATTGAACAAATGGTTTTCCATGCAGCCTAGCTGCAAAAGTGATTTTAACATCCACCATTTGCAAATTAAAAAAAAAAACAAACCCACACCAAAACCCACGACCGCGCTGCTTCTTGACACTTTAAGGCATCACACGTCCTTTCGAAGCCCGCACACCGCAGGACTCCTTTTTACGCTACCAGCCCGGAAAGCTTTGCAAGAGGGGAAGGCGAGGGGCCGCTCTGCGGGAAGGCGACGGCCCCCGGCCCGAGCTCCCTCCCGGGGGATGCTCGTGTCCGGGGATGCCGTGCCCGGGCATGCCGTGCCCGGGGATGCCGTGGCCGGGGATGCCGCGGCCGGGGATGCCGTGCAGCCAGGCTCCGGCTCTGCGGAGAGCGGGGCAGGGCGCGCTGCGGGCCGGGCCCCGAGCGGCAGCGCCGGCTGAGGCGGCCGGGCCGGCGGAAGATGGCGGCGGGCGCTGGCCTTCGTGCTGAAGGCGGCGCCCGAGCGCGGCTCCGCGGGGGAGCGGGGGCGGCGGCCGGGGGGATCCGGCCCCGGGGACGGGCGGTGCCGGAGGGACCGCGGCCGTGGGCGAAGAGACGGCGGGGGAGGGTGTTGGGGGGAAAGGTGTCGGGGCGGCGTGTGCGCGGGGATGCGCGGGGGAGCGGCGGGAGCGGGATGCGCGGGGACGGGGATGCGCCGGGACAGGGATGCGCGGGCGGTCACAGGCACAGCCCTCCCGCAGGGACCGCCGCTGACGGGTTTGCGGGGTGGCCTTCCCTGGATCACTGATGTCCCGCATCCCACAGCCCGCCCCACCCAGCAGGAACCCCGCGGCGGGGACGTCTCCGCAGCCCGGGCACTGCCGTCGAGGGGCAGTACCCAGCCATCCCTGGCTGCCCCCGTGGCCTCGATTCACTAAAACCTCTTGGCATGTGCTTCAAGAGGACGTGATAAATCCTGCTCAGTAACTGCCGGGCAAACTTAGCTGTTTGCATATATTTTTAAAATTTATTTTATGATTCCTATTCTTTTTAATGACTTCTGGGATGGGACTGGAGACACAGCGCACCTTAACATTGTTTTCAGGTAAAACCCCATGGCAGTGAGCGTTTGCTATCTGATTGCATGTTCTTGCTTTGTATTTTATTCTATGTAACTGCGGAAATACCAATATACTCCAAACTGGCAGGACTGAAGGAAATCCCAGGTTGCCCCCAAAGTTGTCTTGGGCTTTGGTATCTGATGCTGGGCTTGCAACTAGGCATTAAGCATACAACTGCATTCTTGCTGTGCTCTGGTATCCACGAGTTGATGAAGGAACCATGGCCTTTCATCCCTTGCATTACTTTGGTTTGGATTGCTGTCTTTTTGTTATAACTCTAGTTTCATTTTTATATTATTATGCATGGTCACACTTCCTCCTCTGAGAGTCTGGAATAAAATCTGAGAAAACATCAGCGGGGAGGGAGGGAGAGAGAAGAACACACAGCAGTCAGTAATATTCGGGAAATTAAAATAACCCGCCATTTAAATATTTTCTTTTAGTATCAATGACTTTACTGAGTTACTTTTTTTGTGGGGCAGTGAGACTGCCCAAGACCTAGGCTGCATTAGGCTTGAGGGATAAGTTCATTCCCGTGGGCTGAGCGGTGGCTTGTCATACTGGAGTGTGCTCACTGCGTCAAGTGGAGGATGTTAATTCACATCTCCATGGTTTAGTATGGTGGAGTAGCGTGCTATTTCTCACTGCAAATAGAGGAATAGCCACACGGAGGAAAAAAATAAGTTGCAAAAATAATACCAGTTGCATGCAAATTCAACATGTTCCACAGTAGCATATGGAAAAAGCTATAGGAAAGCAACGGCAAGCTCAACTGCAAAATATTGAGTCCCTTCTTCCTGCCTCACTGAGCTTGGCAAACTTTAGCAGGCTAGTGGAAAACAAGCAAACAAATGGCAATAGAAAAGCCCTGATAAATCAGGCTAACAGGAAAGTAAGGCTGCAGCTTAATCTTTCTGGCAATAATTAACTCTGATGAAGGGCCCCCCATCTCCCTTTTTGAAATAGCTAGCCGAGGGATGTGGTGCCTGCAAGAAGCATTTGCTCAGCAAGGGAGCAGCTGTCAGCTGCTTGCTGGTTTCTCCTCCCTGGGAACAGGCTTTAGCACACTGTGATATGAGCAATGCTTCACAGTTATTGTAAACACTTAGGATATTTGTCATATATTGTTTGTGCCTACATGACACCTATCATTTTAAATCTGGCAGCTGAGATATCTGTCTGTGATTACAGTGGAGCTGCACTGATTTTCTAAAGTGAATATATGGCTGAGAGACTGACCTTCCTCCTAGTAAATCCTTAAAAATTAAAACTAAAATACTCCTGAATTTTTTGTTGCTTAGTAGAACCTCTTGTGGTTGTCTGAAGATTGTCTCTATCTCAAAAATCAGTTGCTCATGGAAAGCAACATCACACTGAGGCAGGTGGAGCTCTAATGAATATATTTAGTTTTCACCAGACAGAAAGGTCTACACTGCAACTAACCACTGCCAGCAGTACTGCAGGAAAGATCCTTATCTGATTAAGTAATTGAGGTTGTCATCAAAAAAAAGCATTAGCAGTAAGAGCTCAAACTGCAATTGCATGAGCAGCCTTAACCCTCAAATGCCTGAACTCTCTGAATGCCATATTTCTCAGCTTGCACATGCTTGGAATGCCTTTCTCAGAGGCGACACAAACAAGCAGTGTGAGAACCACAGGCTGGAAGTCCTCTGGCAGCAGGAGTCCTCTTGCTTTTGCTGAATTAGAGATGTGAGCATTTCCACCACTTCTTGCACCATTGCCTCCTGCCTCAGGGGAATCTAGCAGTCAAATTCTTTGGATGGTTAATTGCTCTAGCTCGGGCAATTCTGTGGTGCTAGTACTCAGTCTGTGGGTGTCTTCACCAGGACTGGAGACCAGATTATCCTCAGTTTATCCTTGAGACCCACTGTGCCTTCTTTCTTGGCTGTTTTTGTCATTCACAGTATAACTTTCCCCTGGAGACTCATGCTTTTTGGGGCCTTTGGACTAGAAATTAAAGTTTCAGGTATAAGTCGTAGTTTGTATAACAGACATTCAGAAAAAAAAATCTTAGTTCTCCTGGTCATTTCCATCCAATCAACATGTACTGAAAAATTAGTATGCATCCATCAGTGCTGACTGGGCAAACAACTCCTGAGACAGCAGTTTTCTTACAATAAATCTGTAGTAACCTGAACCAGAGTTTGTAATTCATATGCAGTTTTCTCAAACTCTTGCAACACTCTTGTTCAATGTGGGGAATGTATCTACTATACAAGTCATTTATCTTGGGCTTTCCTTTATTAAACAATAATAAATTGAGAAATTGTTGAATCATAAGTTTTCATTAGTAGTCATTTATCCTGTGCTCTAGCTAATCACTCTACAGCAGCATGCTTGTGGTGTTAGTTACTCAGACTAAGACATGGGGGGAAAAATGGTAGGAATTTCTTGCAAGCAGAGCTTTTTCACAGCGTACAAAACAGAATGATGATGGGAAATATGTCAAATGCCAATAGATGAAGTACATCTCCTATGAGAAAATTGAAAACTAAGTGACTGCCTTAGAAAAACCAAAGCATTACAAAGGAAACAGATGTGTGCTATTTCTGAAAGCAGCTCACGAAAGAGATGAGTGAGCTTTTTGGAGGCATGGTATTGCTTCAGATCTTTCGGAGAAAGGCAAGAAAATATAAACTCTAAATATGCCATCATCCAAATAAAAACTTCATTAGATCCTTAGATCATCTTTTGCTCAGCACTGTTGAATTCTTCATTTTCTGCTGTCACTGATTTATGTATCTGGTCTTGCTTCAAGAGTGATTGTGCCATTGCTGCCCACAACAACACTCTTTCTGTAAAATTAATCTAATGTAGGAAAAAAGAATGTCTCCAGGCTTTTCCGCAAGTATAACATACACCAATCTAAAGACTAAGTTCAGAACTAAATCAGCAGGAATTTTGCTTCCGTAAGCACTATGGACCCTTCCCAAGGTATATTAAAACTGCAGCTTTGTTTGGGTGTTTATGTGTGTGTGTGTGGGTGTACATCAGGTAGTTTATAACTTTTCTCCCAAGACTGTATTTTTTTACCTTCTGGTACTCTTTGCTACCCCAGCTGGAATGCAGTTCTGGGAGGTGTATCTACCCTGAAAGCCAAATCTACCAGATGGTGGCACAGTCTGCACCAGGAGGTTGTAGAGCAAAATGTTTCACTTTTTTTTTAACAAGTCCTCATTACAAAGAAGTTATTTATAGTGTTATTCTAATAAGGAGCCAAAACAGAGCAGCCTTTTATTAGAACTTGCTATAAAGGGCATTACACTGAGGCCTCCCTGTGCATAAATACCACTTACTTACTGTGCAAAAGTTGGCCTGGAGAGCAGAAAAATTCAACTTGTATTAGCAAAGGGTTCCTTTAGGTAGGAAGGTTTTAAAGAGTTTAAGCAGCATTAATTCAATTAATTCCACATGTGACAATGTCATTTTACCCTAATTATTTAAGAATTCAGAACTGAGGGGGAAAAAAAAAGAGAGAAACTCTGTTCCCTCATGAGAATTCATCTGAAGAGTTACAGTAAAAGTCCTGTAAGTTTGCCTGTTGGAAAATAACCGTTTAAAACAGCCTTTCCCCAGTACAAATACAGATATTTCTGAGTAAAAAAAAAAACAACAAAAAAACCCAAAAAAACAACAACAAAAACAAACAAACAAAAACAGCAACAAAACCAAACTAAAACAAAAAACAAACACACAAACAAAAAAAACCCAAACAAACAAAAAAAATCCAAACCCTTATCTTCTAGGTGAAAATAAGTGTGTGAGAGAAAGCAGCAGAGGAGCTCCTTTTGGCTCACTACTCTGCAGTGAAGGTTCTTTCTTTATGTTCTGACCGAGGAGACATCTGCATCCAGGGGATCTGAGGCACGTAGGTCTTGGCCCCTCCTGGGTACAGGCTCCTGGAGGGTATGCTTTGTTTCAAACAACCCATGAATGAATTCCGGCTTTAG